ACACACACACACACACACACACACACACACACACACACACAAACGCTCACCACACACAGTCCGGCCTGCAGGGACTCCGCCTTGCTTCCTCCACCGGCCCGGCCCACCCTGTGCCTGACTCCGGACGACACACACCTGCTTCCACTCAGCCGCAGCCCTTTGAAGTGAACATGTGGAGGTCTCTTTCTGAGCGCCTTGGGCAGCGCTGCCCTAATTTCCCACTGTTTACACAGATTACCTGTGCCTGGGTAATACAAACAGAGGGATCATCTAAATGTATGTGAACGCCCCTAATGGCCGTTGCCAATTGGTCCTGGAACAGTGCTGTTGGATCTGGGATGGCTGCACCTAAGATTTGCACTGCAGTTATTCGTCAAAGGGATTACACAGGTCTGCAGGGGTTGTTCCACGACTCAGGAGTTATTGGTATGGGAGCAGTACATGCTTATCATGCATATCTTTCACCCCTTACTGGAAGATTTGGAATGAGATGCCTCTACTTATTCATAAGCTAAACATGAAACTATTCCAACTTCTTAAGAGGCTTGGATATGTTCATGCAATCAGGGAAGACTTCCTTGGAAGGATACTTCGAAATTGACTTTTATTCTGCTTGGCAATGCCGTTGACTTTGTGTAGATTAACTCCAGGCAGCAGCACTACTGCAAATAATGAAAATGTAAGCTGCTCAAATTGAAATGTAAGTCATTCCATTTCAAAATAAAATGGTATTCATTGATTTGCAAAGTTTTAACAATCCATTGCACAAATCTCTGTCCATTGAAAGATTTCCTTCCACTTGGATCCGATGCATGCACATTTAGCAAAAACCTCCAAATGTCACTCTAAATGAAAGACAACCACAAAACAGTGTGGGATGCACTTAATGAGTTTAAAAGTAAAGCAGCATCTGTTGTGAGCCTCCATGAGTCAGACTGACAGGTATGGCCAGAAAATCCACAGTCGTCGAAAAACAAGCTGCTTCCCACAGATGTTGCTGACAGATGACAGTTGCTGGGCAATCTCAAAGCCGCCAAGAAGAAAGGAGAGCTCCCGCTTTGCACCTGATAGAGTGCACAAAGGCTTTCAGGCAGCAGGCCCGGGAATTCAGCTCCGGCTCTGGGAAGCCAGAGAAAGCCACCTGGAGGGGACAGCACCGCCAAAAGAACTCCTCCTCAACAATAACTTCCCTGTGAATCGGCCCACTCTCATGCCGCACTTTGTTAATGAGGATTGGGTGCGTGTGTCGGGTGATTTTGAATCCTCATCGACAGCAGATGCCTGCCTGTCTGCCTCACCTGCTAAACCCCCTTTAAACAAATAATTATTCTCAGGGACGTTCCCCGCAGGTTGACAGATTCCCAGGATGCACATTCGTAAACTGTTCACGTTTCAAAGAAGAGCGTCCAGGAATCGTCCTGATATGCAGCTGCGGCTCGAACAGCAGCCGATCCATAATGGGAAGATCTATGATTTACATCTGGCATGACGCAAATTACGACTGAGCTTCAGCCGGCGTTCCTGGGCCCGTGCAGAGGGACTTCAGAAGATGTCAGGCGCACGGAATCACTTCAGACTCTTGACAAATTGCCGTCTTTGATTTTATTGGTGTTTGACCTTGAAACTGATGTGGGATCCCTTCATATTATGAGAGGGTATAAATTATGAGCCAATGTGTTTTCAATAGAGCCCAGATCCATCCGTGCTGGCTGTTTACAAGCGTTTTGAAGTGGTTATTCGGGGAGTGCCATAAGTGAGAGGGACAGGGATCGCCTTTCCAAAAGCGTTCTTCAGGGCAGACAGGGCATCCTTAAAATCATTTACAATATATCCTGTGCTGCACTGTAATATAATCTAAACCAGACTGGCAGCCATGGCTTAAAGCTTTCAGTGTGTGTAATTGTCTCTAACTGGAAACATCTTGCTTTCCATCATAATATGTGATATACTGCGCTGTAAAAGAGGGCTATGACTAACTGCAAACCAGGATTGTGATATCCCGGTCGACAAAGGTTACCAAAATAGACACAGACCATAAAGGAATGTCATAAAAATATCCAGCTTCAATTTCAATTGAGCCCTATGAAAATAAACTTTATACGTTGGTTTTAAATTCTGTTTTAATGATTAATGGAGGCAACATTTCTGATTTCAAAGGCTGCAGAAATGTTCCGGGCTGTCGTTTTTGATTGACAAAATTCGGAAACGTGAGGTATAGTCCTATGCCAATATGCCTGGAATAAACTAGTGTTTCTCCTTGTTGAGTGTCCTCAATCATCCTCAAAGGTGAATATACTAATACAATACATCCTTATACGTTTTGCTGTGATTGTGCTCTGACCTGTGTCTGCCATTCAACAAACAAATCAATAAAATATCAGTGAGAGAACCATGCTGGTAGCTCAGTGGGGATAAACACAGGCTAAGACCTGAGACCATTCAGCCGGTGATCCTGTGCAAACACACACAAAAAACATGCATACACATGACGATCACACCTGAACATAGGTCTAGTCAAATGTATTATCAATGGAAAAGTTGTCGTCAGATATATCCTGGTGCTGCCATGTTTCCCTAAAGCAAATTAAAGCATAATGTAGATATTCGGTTTGACTCCTAGCTAAAGCTGTTAGCTCGTCCATTAGCCAGTGATCTTACGTAGGACAAAGAAAGGCTTTTAGAAATACTGTAATTTATCTGAACAAGAAATAAAAGAAAACATTATTTAAAGTCCAACATCCAAATTGTATAAATGACATTGTGCAAAATGTTATGAAGGTACTAAGTAAACTACAGGTTTGTGTGTTTCTTTATTCAGCACCAATCCACCACGGACTTGCCTTTGTGATGGATTACAGCCTCACGCACAACGTGCCCATCAGCATATACATGGGTATGCCATTTCCATAATCCAATTTATATCAAAAGGCACAATTTATTATCCCTCCTCTCCCTGCGCTCCCCCTCCTCCCCGTTTTCTTTCTCCCAGGCTATGATGAGGTACGGAGAAACAAAAAGGATTAGGTTACCAGGAAATTGAAAAGGTGCAAGAGCAGCCAGAGATGTGAGATTAGTTTGGTTTATAACACATATCCTGATGAGGATAACACGTGTGTGTTTAACACAGAGCGTGAGAGGGTCCGGCCTATGGGGTGTAGTTGGATGGAAGCTGCTGATAGACCGAGCGATACCTGCCGATAAATGAGAAAGCAGAGAGGCGGTGGGGGGGTTGTGTTTGGGTCAGTGTTGTGGTTTGGTCCATGGTAAAGTGAGGCATGAGTGCATGTGTTTACATCTGATTACGTCCATCCCTCTCTCCCACTGCAGCCGAAACCCTCATCCACGCCTTCATCACCTCCCGTCTGGACTATTGCAATAGCCTCCTCTATGGTTCACCTGCAAAAATCCTCAACAAACTTCAATATATCCAGAACTCCGCCGCCCGTCTACTCACCCACACCCGAATCCGTGAACACATTACACCCGTCCTCATCAAGCTCCACTGGCTCCCCATCCCCCAGAGAATTCAGTACATAACCTGGCCCCATCCTACCTGACTGACCTCCTCCACAGACACACTCCCACTCGCTCCCTCCGCTCTGCCACTGCCAACCTCCTGTCCCTCCCCACCCGGACCAACCTCAAGTCTTGGGGCGACAGAGCCTTCTCCGTTGCTGCACCCACGCTCTGGAACTCACTACCCCAATCCATCAGAGATTCTTCCTCCCTCACAGCATTCAAAACATCACTCAAAACCCACCTGTTCAACACTGCATTCAACCAATGACCACCCCCCGTATTTTTTCTGTTTTGTTTATCTCTTTTTGTATTTCTTTGTCTTTTTTGTTGTTGTGTTTTCTTAATTCTCTGTCAAAGCGTCTTTGAGTTTCATGAAAAGCGCTATAAAAGTCCCATGTATTATTATTATTATTATTANTTTGTTTTAACTTATGTTCAGCATCTCTTAGAGGTTTACAGTTTATATGATGAGTTTACGTCCAACTATTACAATTAAAAAGCAAACAGCAAAGTTTAAATTTATGCAAAGGCTTATGGGTATTCATCAACCCAAACTCAGTTCTTTATGCTCGGTCTGGTATTTACAATACGGCTATTCTATGTTTTTACGTATAAAATATACGTCACCGCCGGCCGGTATCCCCGCGGCGGGGAGAAGGGTGTACAAACTAACAGTAATTTAATTTTAATTATTTTTTTATATAAAGTTGTTTTTATAAAAAAAAGAGTAAAGAATAAATTAGGTTAAAGGCAGTCTATGGTTGAAGGTGATTTTGGGAATTATTCTGCACTTCATCTTCCATTACAATGAAATGACACCCACAATACTTAATCTGAAGGCCCATTCTGCAGAGTGACTGCCAGCAGACTCCACACTTAACTTAACTTAACTTAAAACTTCAGCACTTTTGAATGCATACAGTAATTAATTCCAAGTCAAGTGAATTTTCTTTTCTCTGTAGGATAACTACAACAAAGTGCATTCAGAACAAAGCCAAGGTGCTTTAAAACTGCATAAACATCTAGGCCAGTAGGCCTACAACAAAATAGTGTAAATAAAGACTGTAACAGCCAGGCCTTCAACAACAACAAATACACCTATAAGTTTGGTAACCTAACGTGTTGTGATGACGTAATCAAAACGCGGCGACAAGCACGGCGCGCGACCATGCTCGCGGCTGGCTCAGAGCCAACATGTCTGCCGCGTGGAGATATTTCAAAATATCAGAGAGAGAGGCGTGGATTGCGATTTGTAAAACGTGTTCAGCTGACATTTCTCGAGGGGGTGTAACTGCAAAGACTTTCACCACTTCGGGATTACTGAAATCAAAACACCCGGACAAATATGCGGAGTATGATCAACGTAACCTTTTTAACCATTTTCTGCCGATAATTTTCGGTGGCCGAATATTCGGTGCATCCCTATTATTTATCAACTTCAACTGAAAGTAACATCTCTGTTAATGTATATTTCCCAATAGCAACCAATGAATTTTGGGGGCCGGAAACTCAAGCTGGGCCCTGCCATCATGAAAGAAAGGAGCGCCAGTATGTATTGTCATACACTTCAGAGATAATTAATTGGATGTTTGTTTGGCATTGGAAATATAAGATCTACATACTAAACATATGTTTCATCCATTTTCTCCATACAGGAACCATGCCACCCCGTCCGGTTGGCCCTGATCCCTGGATGAACCCCCCTCAGTACGTCTACTGCACCTGCTGCTCACCCATGGGAGGGGGAATGCCTCAACCTTCACCCATCCTCAATGGTGGAAGCCCCTACAGTCAGGTAATGCAGACGAACATAGCCAAGCTATGAAGAATATCTAATTTCAGCAGAGACAGATGATATCATAAAAAAATATGTTTTCACATCAAGTAAACACACTTTGGGGCTTTAATAACGCTGTCAATCATACCATTATTCTCTGTTACACTCTCTTTGGGGAAGATTTTTTATTATCTCAGCCAAAAATAAAGGTGCATTATGAATAGCAATTTATTATCTTAGTTTTCAATTTTCCAGAAAAAAATATAAAAACAGGGAGTTGGCAATTGCATAATTTATGATATTACTAATAATATTAAAGTTGGTGAATTATTCAGACAATACCACCTGTCATAAACACTAGCACTTACAAAGCATTCCTTGCAGTAACACTAACATGAAAAACAGTTACTTATCCCTGTAGCTCTTCAGTTGGTTTAAAGATATCCAATAGGTATTTTAACATCTGCTTAACACTGTTTTCTATATTAACATACTTCTCTATGTTCCTCCTGGCTTTCTTTTCAGCCGTACTCCTACCCCAACTATGGAGGGGTCGTGTACCCACAGATGCCAATGAACTATGCACAGAACCCCTACACCTACCAGGTCACCACACACACACACACACACACACACACACACACTCTAATTAGTCAACAGTATCCCTAGGCACTGCACATACGCTCCTGCATATAAGATGAAGGCTTCAGCGTGGCTTACATCCACCTGTCCCTGCCTACCCCACATACCCCCCCATCTCCAGTGTTCTGGGTTTGTATGTTGCCCTCTGTTTCACCGCTGACCCCTCTCCCCCCACACACAGTACGCTTCCCCACACTGGATGATGGACCAGAGAGCACCGCCTGACAATCAGGTGACTCCACATTTAGAGGCAATAGAAGTTCAAATCACTTTGAGAACCTTGTGTGGCCAGTGGGAGGAACACATTGATGGAGTCTTTGATTGATGAACTCCATTGAATGTTTTATTTGTATATTACCTAATTTTTTTGTTTTCCAGCAGTGTTTGTGGCAGCACATTGTCCCCACACTGCAATGTTTGGACAGGCCACTAGGTTGTGTTGTCTTGCCATTGTTCACATCCTGAAATATGGACTGTGCATCAACGAGTTCTTACAATAATACATTACTAATGTTTGTTTTTTGAGAGCCTAGTTAATGGCAGGATGAAAGCTTTCATGTCTTTGAGATTGTACACACATAAATATGTTTTTAATGTCTGTTCTTTAGAACTTTGTGGACAATGGAGTCCAGACTATGATGACTGTGCTGTAGTCTGAGCTACTGAGCCCCCTGCCAGGTAAATAAACACTATTTCCAACTAAGTGTGGTCATACCAGGGATACAGTAGGTAACTGCGCCATGGAGGGCCAAGCTTCTGCTATCATTTTTATCTGAGTGGACATTAATAAATGGCTTAATTGTGTTTTATTTAGTTGCAAAGATAAACCATCATACTGTCAGCCTTGTAATGTACATGGTGTCCTATTTGTGTTTAACTGCTTCATCATCTTCATGTTCTGCTTGGCAATTAGTCCATTAATGTTCCGTCCTCGATGTCCCTTTTCATTCTTTACTTCACACATTTGGTTAATGGTTTTTATCTGACCAACACGGCTAATCTTGAGTTGGTATGTAATTGAAGGAGGAACCATTCTTGACTTGTGATGTCTGTCCTCTGCTCCCTTAGATTACGCAGCTTTGGCCACAGTGAGACAAATGCAGACAGGATGACATCTTGACGTTCCTGACGGCTGGAAGGAATCGAATGCCTCATGGTTTTTCTTATAGCCCTCCTCCCTTCTCTCAATGTATGAGACCCATTTTAACACCACACTGTAGGAGCTCTCCACTGTAACTATTCTTGTTTGATCACAATCATTTTAATCACACGGTATGGACCGCTGTCGTGTGGTCAAACTGCGTTTTACACACACGGATCACAGTGACAGTTGCACAGGAAGAAGCACCTCCACCATATAAATGGGCTCACATTCCTCTTCCTTTTTGTTTTCTTTTGTCGGTTATCCCAAAGGAAAAAAACATTGAAAATACTTTTAAGCTCACCCTTTGTGACTATTTATATTTTATTTTTTTCTCTGTACATAAACAGTAAGTTCATAGATGTAGAAATGTCTTGAGAGGTTTCAGCTTTGGAGTAGAGGGCTACTTTCAATCCAGTTCAAATCTAATGGTTCTAAATTAAGAAATGTAATTAATTGCAGTATAAGGGCACTTGGTCAATTATTTCAAGCACTCACATTTTGTTTAGTTTAGTTTGTGCTCTATTCTGTTCAAATGGGTGTCGGATTGAGGCAATAACTGAACAGCAATTTAGATTATAGTTCCTAATCAGTATCACTGATTTTCTGTCTTGGTCAAACGGCAGACTTTTCAAGTTGATTATCACAGCATGGTTCGACACACAGATCATCTGTGTCGCATTTCTCAACCATCCCATCCTCAAATGGTTCCTGACGTTCACACTCAAGGACAATCACGGCATCAATCTATTTTTCCCATTGTATCCAACTTATATTTGGCAATATAAGTGGAGTGCGGTTTTAATCCACTCTGAAAATGAAGGACATGATGTAGAGTAAGGAGCTCTGTCTTTCTTATACAAAATGTTCACTGCATGGTTCACTTTATACTGTTTCTATCTGGCTTTTAATGGCGTTGCAGATGATAAAGTATTTTACTGTAATGACTGATCAATGATTATTTTTATACATTTATTTTCCTTAAACTTTATACACTAAAAGTGCAGCTTTGTATGGTGGTGGATGGACATTTGGTATTTGGTGCACATATTTTCTTTTCTAATACCCAAGTTTTGTATGGTCATTATCCTCAGGGTCTCCTGTGTGCAGACATCTGATTTTGTTTTGTTTTGTCCGAAGAGCTTAGGCACTGCGCTGTTAAGTTTGGTTAAATGTTAATGTTCATGTTTGCAGAGTTTGGATGTTTTTGCTAAAAAAAATAAAGTATGTTATTTAAGCTTGTGGATGTCTTTGGTTTCTTTGCATGATTTTGAACACTGGTCAGTATATTTTAGGAATATTGATTTGAGGTTTGGTGATGATGGAGCTTTCAGACACTCCCAGCTACAGTAAGCCTGTCAGCGGATGCTGCTTTTCCCACATCCCTTGTCTTCCCTGGCAACAAGCCCATCATCTCTTGGTCACAGAGCATTTTGTTTTTGTCACAGTCTGGTGGTGCGACTGGGCTCCCCAGGGTGTCCTGTTCAGCTTGTGACCACCCAACAGCCCCACCCACCTACACCCCAGTCAGACGTTTGTGAATTATGGATAAGTCTGGATAGCTTCTTATGAAATATGAATTCTCCAAAGCAGCCCATAACATTGATGGTAGACCTATAACCATGTGTGACCAAAAACTGTTATTTGACCCACGGTGAAAACTTGAAAAATCTATCAATTTTATACCCTTTTTTTCAAGTAATATGCAACCACTGAGCTGGTTTATTTAATTTCAACCCACAATTTGATTCATACTGTTTCTCAAAGTGTTTCACAGTATCCTATCCAACCTGGAGAAGAGTGAGAAAGCACATTGAGGAGAGAGGAGGTGTGTGTCTGTGTGAAGCTGCCTCTCCTCACACACACGCTGGTGAGAGAGAGGGAGACGGTGTGTTTATCATGAGCCGCCCGTGAGATTCAGCAGCAGTCAGATGTATACTTTCCAAATGGAGGATTCATGTTCAGCTCACATTGGATCTCCAGCATCTGACCTGATGTGTGTCATTTCTTAGCAGCCGTGACGAGGACAGACATTAAAGAGAGGAGAGAGGGGCTCACATCGACACAAGTGAGGAGAGCTCTCAGTACAGAGAACACACCGAGCAGACTGGGGACCACTTGGAAGGTGAGTGCAACTCTTGATTGTTAATTTATATACCTACAAAATGTACTTATTAACATTGTTGACATTTATGAGTATTGGCAACATGATTCACCGGAAGTAAATTAATATATTTTTGTCTTTCTTATCGAGCCATGTGCATTTTCTGGCTGTACAAAATGAGATTTACTAGCGTTTTAAGAACTTGGAACAGAGTTAACGACATGTACAGGCGGAAATACCCTATTAAAGTAAAGGTCAGGAGTCATCTTTTGAATCCTTTCACAATAAAACTCTTGTGACAGAGAGAAATCCTTTGAGTTTAGACATTCAGCGGCTCGTCTGATTTGTGTGATGTTGTGTGCCATTTGTTATCCGTGGCGGAACAAAATGAATAAGCCCTCTGCTGCTGGCTGTCACAGGTTGAAGTGAACTCAAGATATGCGTGACGGAGTAAAAGTCTCGAGCGCAGATGGAAGAGGGGGCTGAAGTGTGCGTGTGTGTGGGCGCGCGCGCGAAAGATTTGGTGCGTAAGCAACCTGTCATGTATCATTTCCATTTCACTAAACTACCGGCGTTAACGGGCAGCATCAGCTAGCCACGTGTTGGGAGAGTGTGTGTGGGGGGAGAGAGAGGTTGAGGTTGAAAACACCAAAGAGGGAAAACCAGAAACATGTAATTTCAAGCAAGGCTGCACGCACAAAATGCAGCGGGCATCAATTAGTTACATGGCTATGTAAGGGTGCTCACCACCATATAGCTTGGAAATCTATTAGGAAGCACTATTCAAAGAAATGTCTAAACATATAAATTATGGATTTATGGAGGTGGAAGAAGTACTCATATCTTATAGTTAAGTAAAAGTAGAAGTACCAAAGCGTAGGAATACTGTACTTTGTTACAAGTAAAAGTCCTGCATTCAAAATGTGAATCAAGTAAAAGTACATAAAGCATCAAAATGTACTTTAAGTACCAAAAGTACTCATTATGCAGATTGGCATATATATATGTGCTGGTTATCGATGCATTAACGTGTTGTTTAAGCTGGTAAAGGTGCAGCTAATTTTGTTGTTGTTGTATACTGCAGGTTACCTTGTGAATGTTACTCCAGGTGAAACTAAAGTCCTATGTATGGTTTATATTTCATATCATTAATTCAAATGTGCAAAGTAACTAAAGATATCACAGAAATAAGGTGGGGTCAATATTTACCTGTGGTTTGTAATGGGGTTGAAGTACAAAGTAGCAACAAATGGAAATACTCAAGTTCAGTACAAGTCTGTCAAAATTGTACTTAAGTAAAGTACTTAGTTACTTTACACTGCTGGATTTATGTCCAAGCGTACCTCAGGGTTTAGTAAATTGATTCCCCGGTCCTAACAGCTTTCCTCTGTTAATAAACTGTTCTTTTTTTTGGACAAGAATAGGCTTTGCGACAACCAATACATCAATGTCATTTGTTTTTTATCCTCCCCATGCAGCCTCATTAAAACGCCGTTTGAGGTGACTACTTTGTTGCTTGCAGGAATCACACCTCCCTCCAGGCAACTTGACATGCTCCCAGTCTGCTCTCCGTCTGTCTTCCTCGCTCTCTCTGTCTTTCTCCCCCTTTCTCCCTTCCTCCTTCTTCTGCTCTTGCTGTCATCCCCACTATCAGCAGCATACCCCACCCCTAGATAGAAACTGAGTGGAGCTCCAACCCAGTGGGAGGGAAGCCCACTCCCCAGGACTCAGTCTGTCACCTCTCATTTAGAAATGCATTGAAAAACATCACATATTATCATTATCATTAAGGGTTTATTAACAATAATGCAACCGTTTTTATTGACTTACCTCTGTGTTTTTTGCTGGTAAACAATCACGCAGCTATAAAAGGTAACTTGATTCAGAGTCAAACTGCTGATAGACTGAATTCCTTGCATAGACATTAGGCAGTGCACTCACAGGCAGTAGGAATTATGGCTTTCAAGCAGGCCCATAAATTCCTATAATAAAGGAGAATGGAAGCCAGTAAAGACAGTTTTATTTGCGGATGCTTGTTGTAAATCAGTTTTGTGCCTAGGATGAAAAATACTCAACACAACTGGCAACTGCTTTGTATTATATGCAGCGAAACACTTTTCTTTAGGTGGCATGACGTAGTCGTGATCAACAGTTCTGCATTACATTTTGGTCTTTTGAATAACAGCTCAATTTTATTTTTTTATTTTTTTCTAACCTGTGTATCCTTGTGACTATTATTATTTTTGTTGTTTTGTTTCCCATTGTAAAGCGTCCTTGGGTCTCTTGAAATGCGCTATAAAAATTAAAATTATTATTATTATTATAAAGACCCTTAATTAGTAACATATGTAGAATCCTTGACTAACTGTATTTGTGTCATTGTGTTATGTTCCTCTTTAAATTGGTATTTTCACATTGATCTTGTAAGATACGTCTGTTGTTTTTACATTGTTTTACATTGCGTTTACATTGTCAATTGTGTTTGTTGATTTGTGAAGCCCTCTGAGACAAATATGATTTGTGATATTGGGCTATAAAAATAAACTTGAATTGAATCTGTGTCTTGCAACTATACATGGTTTGGCTGAGATTCGACTACCAATGGGCATTTGTTTTATTTGTTTGAGAAAATCAGAGAAGCAATTATACACCTTTTTTGCTCTTTCCTTCACATCCGTAACATTTTGCTAAATGCCACACTGCTATGTGCATTGGCCCTTATTGTTAATGCTTGGGCAGATTTGTTAAAAAATTGGACTTATTCCAAACAATGTTTTTAGGGACATGTGTAAGCGCAGAGTGGCATTTGCTCTGCTAAGCCCATAGTTATTGGGATGCTTCAAAATGCATTATCACACTCATACTGTAACCACAGAAGAAATGGATGGGATGACGTTAAAAATATTGCATTTAGAGTTAGACCATTAAATCAGCCAGTGTGTTGGCCATATTATTGGTGTACTGCAGATAAATCAGTATTGGTGTATATAGCGGCTTACAAATAACAAGAAACAGAAACAGAAACAACACATTCATGTTTGAAGTAATTTAGAAACTATGTCATTATTGCTTACTTATTTCTTATCATAACAGCTGTTCCTACCTGTAGCTAGTCAGCACAGTAGGGGATTATGATTAGTGAGCTTATATTTATATACTGTAATTGTTTGGGAGGAAGAAACCAACATGTGAATTGAAGAGGCTCCCTGATGGTTCTTTCTATTTACTGTTAATTTCCCCAAGCCTCTGTGCCCGTCTGTACAGTAGCTCTCCCTCTGCAGCGGATAAATGCTGTTTCTTGGAAAGCAGACTCCCCCCCCCCCTCTGAGTGGCACGGGAGGTAGCAGAGCAGTGGCATAGCACAGACGGATTATACTCTCGTGTAAATCTGCTGTCATTTCAAAACTCTCGGTTACAAGAGACTCTCTAATGAGAAGCCCTCTGCTACTCCGTGTCTATCTGCCTCTTCACTCCATTCTGTCGCTTTCACTTCTTTCATCTATCTGTCTCTCCCGTCTCTCTGTGTTAAATGGAAGTTTTTTTGCTGTCAAGGCCTTTTTCTGTCTGTATGCTTGTGTGGAGAAGCGAGAGATTCTGTTTGAAGTCAACATGTAGAGAAAAAGGCCTCATATGTTGCGAAAAGGCCTCGAGTCTAGGAGGCGCTGGGAGTTTCCCCGGTGCTACAACCGCTTTGGTTTTTCATTCCACGTTGTGTCCAATTACAGAGATCTGTTTCTAAATGGTGCAAACAGAGTTCATCTGTTAAAGCGAGGCCTTTTGTTTTGAAACTGAACCATCCGCGTACAATAAAAAGGACAAAGACATGTAGGATCTAACAGTAGGGCTGGAGGCTAGTCAAGACTAAGACTACAGAGCCAATCAGGTTTCATTTGAGAGCAATAAATCCAACTGCCCTGAGCAAAATATTAAGCAAGATATTCCAAATTGTTATGATTTTTTAGCACTGCACAATGCATAAAGACATTTATGAAAATTGAGGTAATTTGCAATGGCGTAATAAATTGTATTAAGATGGGTGAGAAAGTCTCTCCCCACAGACATTTCTCTTGCCCTATTTGCCGATGATCACATTGTCTTCCTCCCAATTGTCAAACAGCTACCATTATTATCA